GCTAAATTCATTAAATCACGCAAGCGTATTAGTTTGAGGTATAAATAAGGATCCACTGATTGTTCCTCGCTGAGCAGACTTTTCCTTTAAATGCAGAAATCTGGCCGTCTAGTTGCTTTGCTGCTCGGCACTCTGGTTGTTCATCTGCCCTGTTCTAGCTTCAAGCTAGAGATCAGCTTGACTTTATTTACTTTAAGAGCTGGAAAAATAGTATTAACATGTTTTTAAGTGAGAAAGTCCACCTCCAAACATCGTCTGTTGGTCAGGATTATGATCCCACTAAAATCTTCAGTTCTTGTTCAGAGCACCAGACCTCTAGCATACCGGCGGAGGCAGTGCAGCGTTACCAACTCCTCAGCAAGAAAGGTCGTCATTGGCTGTCCTAGAAGGTAATTTACCTGTTAGGTAGGCATTAGTGTTAAGCAGTGGTCTCCAACATTGGCCCTCCAGATCTTCTGTCCTGCAGGTTTTAGATGCATCCCTGATTCAACACAGCTGAATTAAATGAATGGCTTGTTAACAGGCCTTTGCAAAACTTGATGGCATGCTGAAAAAGGTAATTCTGTCATTTGATTCAGCTGTGTTGAAACAGGGATGCATCCAATACCTGCAGGACAGCTCTTGAGGACCAGGGTTGGAGAGCACTATGTGAAGGACCCATACAGGCAGCTCATTCCTACCCAGTGGGGATTGTGTGCCAGTCAGGTGAGCTACCACTTGAGCTAGCCATCATTCTATTATGTGTCAAACCTTAGAAACGACAGAACTTCTGAACACTACCAGCCATTGGTTTGGTTCCGGAGTTCTCGGACCTCCACCTTTAAATAACACAGATGGGCAGAGCTCCAGTCCTGTCTGAGACTTACTCTAGCTGGTCATAGTTGACACACATGAGAGGAACCTCTGTGCTGCAGCGCTGGTGGAATTTGTAGCCGCAGGTCTGACAGCGAAAACCCTGGAACAGCAGCTTTCTGCAGAAATCACAGAAGGCCAATGTGAAGAAGGTCTTCCTCACCTGCCAAACACAAACAAGTAAACAATCAGGAGCGTGCTGTTCTGAAAGACAACAGAAAAAGGATAGAACACCCTAAAACTAGGAGAAAATAAAGGTTTGGTGGAAAGTCTGGTAACAGAATAAACCTTCACAGAAACAAATTCTTTGATAAAGCTGCTAAAAATGTCCAACCAAACCCATCAACTCTTGAAATAAAAATATGTTGGAATGCTGCTACAAAGATTCTCATAATGTTGCTTCTACTTGTGATTGAAAAGGACATAAAATGCTCACTAACTTGTAAAGCAGAGTTACTGAAAGGTGATAGCTACAACTTTTCTTCCAAACACATAACTAATTAAACATAGCCTGATAAACCAGACTAAATGTGAGATTAAATGTATAATCTAGTCTGGCCCCGATGAATGAGACATCGGAAGATTGTTGATGAGAACAACCCGTTGTCTTTCAAACCATGTCTGTGCCTATTGGCCAACGCTCTGACCAATTAGTGTAGTTGACTGTGCGACAGAAAGCTGGTGGGGGAGCGTAATCCCACAGCATGTGAAACGGCGAATACGTCCTTAAAAATGAATGAGCATAGAGCCTCTTCCTGCTCACGTTTCAACGAAAACTCCAAGTCTAATCCTTCCTAAACTGGAACAAGAAACCACCAACAGCCATACGGATGGATGGATGGATGGATGGA